AGTAGCTTTTGCGAACATCGCTCAAAACATTTGGAGTTGGGAACTGATTTCTGTAGAAGCTGCTGCATCCCGTCCTCAGAGTAAATTGCCAGAAGCACCGACACTTCCTCATCATTCCACCGCTCCGGTGTTGTAGTACGTGTGGTCATAACTGCTTTAAAGTACAAAAAAACTACTCGCTCAGGTGTGGATGTGGTTTTGTAGCGAGGAAAAAAATGGCTGCCTAACAAAAAAAATTCAGAGTCTAACGGGGCGTGGTTTGCAATTCGCCCAGCCAATAGAAATAGAATAGAAATTGGCACTCTTTTATCACCAGGTTCGTACCACCTCTCTAGCAGGGACTGAAAATGGCCAAAAAGAGTTCCCGGCACTAAGTAGTCCCGGCGGTGTGAACGCGACATTATTGGTACTAACGGAACTAAAGAACCAAAGTACCAGGGAAAGTCCTGCGGTGTGAATGCGGCTAATAAGGCAACAGATCAAGAACTTACAACGCAATAAGCAACGGAGAAACATACCAACGGCGTCTTTGCAGCCTCACACACACTGTCGCCAACTTCTCCCTCCGTGGCTTTGGGAACAAAAGATCGGCCATCATAATTCCTGCCCCTTTTGTTGCCGTGTTACCGGAAGCGGCATTAATATTTTTTAATAACAGCTCGCTTATCATCAAGAGAAGTAGACTACGCTATTCCAGTGGCGAGCCGTGACTTTTATACCTAGGCCCTCTGACCCCCCCCCCCCCCCTTCCGTCGAGTTATTACGTCACAGCGTATACTTCAGCGGAATATCAAAACAACGGCCCGGGGTGCAAAACGCATCAATGAAAGCGACCCTCTACCACATAAAACAACACCTGTAAATAACCCTATTTGTGTTCTTTGAAATTGAAAAGGATATTGCATTGTGTTTGTTACTTTCGTTGCAGTTGTATGTCTTAAGTGTAATTTGGCATGCTTTTATTTTGAAGGCGAGTTAACGCTGTTGACAGGAAGTTGTTGTTGCTATGGAAACAAGAAAAGTTTCACAGCGGGCGGAACTTGTCATAAAGTCCGCGATAATAACACCCACCCATTTAGAGGGAAGATATGATTGGTCAATTGTACTGTCATTTGACATTACTCTCTCGTTCAGTTACTATAGCGGGGCCCTCTGTGAATTCATAGCTGGACCGCCTGGACGTCCAACAGCTCCTCTCTTCACAGACTCGCAGAGACGAGCTTCTTTCATTTAACCCTTCACATTCCAACAGAAACTGAATAGGCAGATTCGAAGGATTTATTTCTTTGGAAATGTTATTTTAAATACAACTAAATCAAGTTATTTTGGTAAAACTAATGAAAAATATAACAAAAAAAAATCTTATTTTTTTTTAATGTTTTTAAATATTATTTTTGTATAATATCTTAGGCCCTCACAGAGGGCCTAGAGAGCCCTGACGGCTCGCCACTGCGCTATTCAAAAATAAAACGAATACCCCCATGGTATTGAACAATACTATCACAATAATAACCTAAACGAAAATACATATAAATAATTATTTATCCGTCCGTTTTTCTCAGATATTATTATTTTTCTTTCAATATTGACTTTCGTCTCGACAAATATGGAATACAACGAAAACATTTTGTGCTGTATGCTTTAAAAGAACCGGGCAAATTAAGGTAATGTTTGACCATTTCTATCAGTAAAAATGGTTCCATCCCTTTTTTAAATGGACACATTTAAACTTGACATTGGGATGAAAATCCTGCTGTATTGTCCACTTTTCAATCCTTTCTATTGTGTGAAATAGGAAAGAGGTGCACACTCAAACATGGCTTTATGGAAAAATAATTTAATTGATCAAAATATATCTGTGTAAATGGTATTGTGGGTTCGGATTGGTCAGCTGTGTTTGTGAGAGCAGTTAGCTCCTAAAGAATAATGCATACATATGCAACAATCATTTCTTGAAGCAAGAAAAAGTCTATGGGTAAAATAAGCAACATCTTGAAAAAACAAGAGATTATGTTTCACCTACTAAAGCAGCGTTCAGTTATTATGCTCCAAATATCTGGAACAAACTCCCTGAAAACTGCAGGTCCGCTGCATTTCTGACTACTTTTAAATCCAGACTGAAGACTTTTCTTTTTGCCGCTGCTTTTAATTGAACTATTCACATCTTAAACTGCACTGTAACTTTTATCCATGTATTTTTTATTTTAATGTTAATTTTATTATCTTTTCTTTTTAATGACTGATTTTAAATGCCATTTTCTTAATGTCTTTCGTTTTTTGTAAAGCACTTTGAATTGCCTTGTGTTGAAAGGTGCTATATAAATAAACTGGCCTTGCCTTGCCTTACTACCAACTTGTTTGTAGTGGTGATTTTATCCAGGAAAGGGTTAATATAAAACAATGAATATAATCTGGATCCATTAGCTTCACAGCAAATCTGATTAATTCCCATGATGCTGCTGGGACTGCACAGGTCAAGTGAAGGCCACTGAAGCGGTCACACAGATTATTAGGAGATGATTGATGAGCAGCGGCTCTCCTTAATTAATGGCAGCTCCACATACCTGCTTTCTTCTCCATTATCAAAGGGAACTCATGTGTAGGCTTACAGAGAAAGAACATAGCAGGTTCATGCAATATATGAAAAGAAAGCTCTGAGTATGTGCTATCACCTTGTGGACACACAGCCGGAATAGGGGGGAACTTTGGGGTTAATTAAAAACACATGCTAAGCTTATATACTTGTTTCTATCTTCAGAGCAAAGGAAAAGGTGGGATCAGGGAGAATCAGGGACGTGCGTATTTCAGTGGAAAAGCATTTAGAAGATAAACTGAGTCAAATGATTGGCAGTTATGCACAGAGCATCAATGAAGCTGGTGTAAGTAGTTAGATTGGTTCAAATGGTTCTTCAATAAAATGATCAACTGAAAAATATAAGTGAATATGGATGGTGTAAGGGTAACCTGTGACTTTAATAAGTGTCAGCAACAGTTTGAGTGTCTGAAGGAAGTGGTCACTTTGACCGAACACACAGTGCTCTCAGGAATTTGAATTACCTCGTCATTGTCTGAGGGTCTTGTATTAATGAGAGCACATCGCAGGATGTAATTACTTCATATTACATTTTAGCCAAGGGCTTAAAAAGTTAAAGAGTCCCCGGTCAGCTCGTCCTCTCCAAGCTCCTTTTAACTCGGCGATGTGACCTTGTCTGGATTTTCTTTTGTCCTTCTCTGTAGTTCTGGGCATATCCTCACACACAGGATTGGAGCTGTGACATTTGGTACACATATTCAATGAATGCACAAAAATGTAATTTGCTAAAATTCTAACAAATCTTTAAAATTGACCAATAAACATTTCTTAATTCATCAGTTGGTTTATGTGTAATTCACAGCACGTGCTTTGGCAACATCTTCTACTGTGGGAAATGACGCCATCTCTTTTGTCTCTTGAGAAAGCATTTGAAAGTGACGGAGGCCAGAGTTTCCGTTAGCCAGAATTTGACCGGTAAAATATGCTGAAGACCGGCAAATCCAAATCTCTCCGGTCAAAATAATTTCCACTTAGCACAATACCGCATCAGTTGCGCCACTTATGTGACAGACAAGAATAGTATGTGGCAGACAAGAATAGTATGTGACAGACAAGAATAGTATGTGACAGACAAGAATAGTATGTGGCAGACAAGAATAGTATGTGACAGACAAGAATAGTATGTGGCAGACAAGAATAGTATGTGGCAGACAAGAATAGTATGTGACAGACAAGAATAGTATGTGACAGACAAGAATAGTATGTCTGAATAGTATGTGGCAGACAAGAATAGTATGTGGCAGACAAGAATAGTATGTGACAGACAAGAATAGTATGTGGCAGATAAGAATAGTATGTGGCAGACAAGAATAGTATGTGGCAGACAAGAATAGTATGTGACAGACAAGAAGAGTATGTGACAGACAAGAATAGTATGTGACAGACAAGAATAGTATGTGGCAGACAAGAATAGTATGTGACAGACAAGAAGAGTATGTGACAGACAAGAAAAGTATGTGACAGACAGAAGAGTATGTGACAGACAAGAATAGTATGTGGCTCCGTTTATTATTCCCGTGTTATTATTCCCACTATAATTTGTTTGTTTAATATCAAATCATATCAATTTGTTTTAAAGCTCAATAAATAACAAAGAAGACCGTTGACCGGCACTTTTCTCATTTTGTCCGGAAGATTTAAACTTTAACGGACATGTTGACCGGCAACGGAAACTCTGACGGAGGCAGAGACCAACGATACAGAGAAGAAAATGTCCGATACATTCAAAAACATTAAATAACAAACACATAGGTCAAATTCCCTTCTGTTAGCTTTGCCCTCGCTCAGTGTGCTAATGTCGACTCCACGATAGAGCCAGTCATGTCCGGCTTCATTGATCCATCACAAAAGGAGAGAAAACGCACACAAAGTGTTTCTAAATCAACTTGTCATTGGGCCTTTGTCCCTAAAAACAAACAATAATTTGCCACCCATTTTGGCTAATACAAATGAACCAAAATAAGCTTTATTTTCATATATATTAAAAAAACTATTTTATCGTTTATAAATAGTTTTAAGTTGCAGTTCTAGAAAGATCTTTGCATTGCCATAAATGTGGACATACATTCGAGAATCGATTGTAATAAGTTTGATCTTCTGAACAAAATACAAACAAATACTAGGACCTTCTTTTGTGAATAAGTACCTTCAAAACTAATTACATCCTTTCAGCTGTATTTTGCAGGAATTGCAATCAGAAAATGTTATTATGCTATTAAGCTAAACCTACATGTTAATCCTCATCCTACCTATTAAACATTATCATTTCAGTGTTATCATTTTTATCACATTAGAAGCTGAGGTAAGAATGTATCTTGACGCACAGTCACAGAGCTGCTGGAGAAACTGTGGACTCTAGTCTGGTTTCAGGATGTACCAATGGTTGACTGAGTGTGTTGTCTTGCAGCACGGACTTCCAGAAGAACAACCCCGTTCACAAACTGACAGCAGAGGAACTCCTGGCCTTCACATCCGTAAGTAACTGTTCATCATGGTTGTGATTTGTTATTTACCATTGCAGTTACAGATATTAGGTTTGTGACGGATTGACTTGTGTGTGTGTGACACTGTCATGGCTGGTGAGTTGCTCAGGAAGAGGGAGGCACAGTGTTTGGTGTGGGTATCTATGAATTACCTCATCTTGTTGCTTCCTTTGCATTGTTTTCCGACCAGACAACCGTCGCCACCTACTGCCTACCTTAATAAACCTTCTCCTAACAATCGCATAACAGCTGATTTGCTCTTATGACAGTGTTTCAAACTCTTAACTCCACTTTGATTCTCATTAAAGGAAACAATATACATGTATTAGCTTACGTAATGAATGTGTTTAAACATAGGGGGAAATAATAAATATGTCACACTGTTGCTCACTACATTAATCATGTTGGCTTTGAGACCTTCATCTAGTCCAGTGGTTCTCAAACTTTTTGTCAGGCCCCCCCTTTGGAGAAAAAAAAAAGTCGGGCCCCCCCAACAGAAATAGTCAGGCTCAGTGGCGGCGCCAGAGATTTCTTTTGGGGGTGCTGTGGGGTAGCTTGACGTTTCATATAGGGTGCTCAAACATTTAGGGTTTCCCATTAATGTACCGGGCGCTACAGTGGAATGTTCTACTGCAACACTCCCCACACGCACACACACAGTGTACCCGCGACTGTTACAATGAATGCTCGATAATCAGCTCACGGCATATAGGTGTAAGCAGGGGTAAAGTGCTATTTTTACAGGTGGTGTGTGGACCTCACATAGGGGAGTCCGGGGGCATGCTCCCCTGGAAAGATTTATTTTTAAATATTGAAGTTAAATGCATCAATCTGGTGCACTTTGAGAGCAACATGAAGAGATCTATGGATACCTCTCTCAACACCCATATGAAACAGAACTGTAAACAGATTTACTTTTTCTTTATGGATATTTTACAAATCACCCTTTTAAACTTTATTCTTTTTTTTACTGTCATATAGTATTTCATACCTGTTTTTCATTTATTATCTTATTTTTGTATAACTATAATGATCATATAAACGTGTGCCTCGGAAATAATTGTTTACATTAATGGTGACCAAAACGAGGCCCACTGAGATAACACTGACAGAGTCCTTTAGCTCACTGAGTCTCTCAGTCTGACAGGAGAGGACTCTCCTCCACTTTGTTGTTGAAAAAACTCCTTATATCTGTTAGCGTAGCTCGCTAGCACCAGAAGCTAACAACAACGATCTCCAGTACCGGTGCGCTCTCTCTCGCTCGTGCACACAAAATGGCTCGTTTCACACACACACACACACACACACACACACACACACACACACACACACACACACACACACACACACACACACACACACACACACACACACACACACACACACACACACACACACACAGTCGAGCTTTAATGAAACACAGAGACCCAGATGTAATAGTACTGTACTGCATTATATTATTTTCGAATCAATCATTTTTCTATTTTTTTTTTTTTTTCATTATGATTTATTTTTTATTTTTATAACCATTTTTCCTCCTGGTCTCTCGCGCCCCCCCCTGGCATGCCTCTGCGCCCCCCAGGAGACGTGCTACCATGGAAACCAAACAATGGTGTAGCTGTATATTAAAGTCCGAGTGGAAACAGTCCTGAGTAAATCTGATTTTGTCAGAAATCGGGAGAAATGCGGGAGAAATATGACCCCGGGAGGAAACCGGGAGAGGGCAATGAAATCGGGAGTCTCCCGCGAAAATCGGGAGGGTTGGCAAGTATGGGCGCGGCTGTTCTTATGTTCTCTGAGGGGAGGCTCACCTTCCCACACTTTGAAAACCCCTTGTCTATTCCAAAAGCCGGCCGGTCATTTTGAATTGGCCCTCAGCAGATTCAAAAAGTATAATGAAATATGGCCCACAAATGAAACTTGTGCTTGTCTTGTATTGTACTTCTTCAATATAAATGTAAACATATATTACACAGTAGTTTTCATGTGTAAATAAGCTCATTTTTCAATAAGTTCAGTCAATTAAAGTTGAATTTTCTTTTGTTGATAAGAAAAAAGCCCAATAACTTATTTGTCTAACAAGCTTAAAATATACCCTTCGTATTTCCTCTTATTATAAGCAATCTGAGGGTCCTGTTTTAAAGAATGAGTCAACAAAATGAAATTCTTAAAGCATATTAGCATATAATTTACCTACATTTGATTGATTTTACTAACTTATAACTGAATTCACGAGGCAATATACCTCTAGTGAGTGGCCCAGCCCTTCGTATTTTTTTCTGTATGTGGCCCTCGTGAAAAAGGTTTGAACACCCCTGGTCTATACTTTAGCGAATGGATTCTATCCATTATCAATATCTATTTAAAAAAATGCAAATGTGTGCGCAGTGCACATGAGGTATTTGGCCACTTTGTGAAGAGTTGTTCAGTAATAATGGGAGCTCATTGAGCAGAGAGCTGGAAGAGAAGCTGAGGCAGCTGCTGGCTCTGTGAGCAGGCAGCTTTCCAGCCTACATGTAGATCCAGGAATCTGCAGGCTGGTTATATGGTTGTCACATGTCTGGTTGTCTTCATTGCTACATTCTGTCGCTGTCCTGGAAGGCTGTTGTCTAGACTCCATATAATCCACAGATGTGAATGAAAAGGAGGCTATGTCATCTCTAAAGGGAAATCCTGCCAAACAGGTGTAGAATTGTCTAGATCTTGTTTCTCAGAGGGTTCTGTCAGCAAATATAATAATACTCCTGATGTGCCCATCAGCAGCTCCTGCAGGTCACACAGAGGTGATGTGATCCCACTTACTTCCCCTTAAGCACTGAGACTTCACTTGTTAAGGTCTTAAATGACATCCATTTGAACACAGACAGTGGCAGAATATCAGTGTTACTATTATTAGATCTCAGCGCTGCCTTTGATACTGTTGACCACAACATATTGCTAGACCGTCTTGAAAACTGGGTGGGAGTTTCAGCAACAGCTCTAAACTGGTTTAGCTCCTACTTGAAGGACAGAACAAACTTTGTCTCAATAGGCAATTACAAATCATGTCATGTCATGCGGGGTTCCTCAAGGCTCCATTTTAGGACCTTTGCTTTTTAATATGTATATGCTACCTCTGGCTGAAATTATTAAAAAGAGCGATCTAAGCTATCACATCTATGCAGACGACACCCAGATTTATTTTAAAATTACACTGGGAGACTACTCTCCGATTAGAACACTGAGCAAGTGCATTGAACACATCACTGACTGGATTACTCAGAACTTTCTCTAACTGAACAAACAAAAAACTGAGATCATTGTTTTTGGAGCAAAGAAGGACCGATTAAAAGTAATCACAGAGCTTCAGTCGGCAGACTACAAAACCACTAATAAAGCCAGAAATCTAGGTGTAGTGATGGACTCAGACCTGCATTTCAACAGCCACATTACAACAGTTATTAGGTCTAAAACTAATGTCGCAACAGGATTTAGAAAAACTTGTCCATGCTTATATTTTCAGTAGACTCGACTACTGCAATAGTGTATTCACAGGGCTCACTAAAAAATCTATCAGAAAGCTGCAGCTGATTCAGAACACTGCTGCTCGAGTCCTCACTGACACTAGAAAAGTGGATCACATCACTCCGGTTCTGAGATCATTACACTGGCTTCCAGTCTGCCAATGAATTGATTTTAAAATACTACTGCTAGTTTTTAAATCACTAAATGGCTTAGGACCGAGGTATATAGACGACCTACTCCATCACTATGAAGCATCCAGAAGTCTCAGGTCTTCTGGGTCGGGTCTGCTCTCTGTTCCGAGAATAACCACTAAACATGGAAAAGCAGCTTTTAGTTATTATACCCCAACAATTTGGAACAAACTGCCTAAATCGTGCACGTCCGCCGAAACACTTCCTATTTTTAAATCCCGACTAAAAAGGCACCTATTTGCCGCTGCTTTTAATTGAGCTGCCCATACTCACACTCCAGTATCCCTTTTTAGTCATGTATTCTGTACCTGCTGTGTTTATTATTTAATTTATTTCATTACCTTTGCTTATTATGCCTGTTTTTAAATGCCTTTTTAATAATATATTTATGCTGTATTTGTTCTTAAATGTCTTTTGGTTTTAATCTGTAAAGCACTTTGAATAGCCACGTGCTGAAAAGTGCTATATAAATAAGATTGCCTTGCCTTGCCTTAAGACCTTAAGACCAGCAGGCAGTACCGTGAAGCAGATCCTCCTCAACTCTGCAGACCTGCACCCTCACAGGACTCATGTCTTACTGTCAGTCTGATCCCTCTCCAAAGCCTCATGAATCAGAACTGATCCAGGGCCAGTCAAAAACCCTTTTGCTTTCTTCCTGTATAGTGTGTTATGGTTTTTTACAAATTCAAACAGGTTAGGTATATAGAGTGGGTCTCAAATGTATAATTACAATATTTTGTTTACCGTTAACTGACTGTTCCTTCTTGTCACACGTCTTTTTAATATAGAAAATGTAAACAATTATAATCACACAAACACAATCAGGCCAGTTGCTTATCGAGGCCTGTGGCCTGTGCGACGAAGCCAGTTCAACAGACCCTGGATATGTTGGAGTTATCTAAAGGCTTAACTAACCCTAACAAACGTGTCGTCCTTCGACGCTGGTTATCAACTCGGTAAATCAACCCAGGGTTTCTCTGTCCGGCTGAGAGCGCGTCCACATGAAAGGGGCGGGGTTAGCAACATTTGACCAATCACAAACATGGAGAAGCCTACTGACAGGAGTGGATCTGACTTTAATTACATTTGACTCGAGTGTTTCGTCAACTTGTGTTGCTTAAAATAATACTTCGGCATACAGTATGAGACAATGTACGTGTTGCACGGCCAGATACGGCTTGAGAAGCTGACACAGATAAGGACATATATTATGATGTGATATGAAGTATAAGTGGGACACGTCGGCATCTTTCCTGCATACAGCAGTTTAAACTTTATTTACTTTATTCTGTAATA